GTACCACAGTTGTCATGTAAGGGTAAACTGATTTGGAAGATATGTAGTAACAGAGAACTTGGTGAAATTGCTGATACTTAAACTAACATTTAGTTGCTAAAATGTTGCACAATTCCCTATTACTAATAGTTGTTTTCAAGAGGTCAGTAGGGGTGGGGGTGAGGACAAATCCAAGACCTGAAAGATGGGGCCCATGAACTATCCTTCAGGACTTGGGGAAGTAGAACCTGGGTGCACAGAGGAAAGTGGAATCAACAATACAAGAAAATGTAACTAACAATACAAATGTATAAATAGAACTCAACAACAAAATGATTATTAGAGAACCTAATAAAAAATAAACCTGATGCATTGGGGACTAAAGTCTTTTGGACAGAGGTAGATGTGATTGATAATGTGGTTGGAGATGGGGAAAGTAGAGAGAGAAAAAGGCATTTACGCTGTCTAGTGTAGTTTTCCCTCTCTCTGGGCCCAATGCTAGCACAGGACACCCACCAGAGACAGACACAGAACATGGGACACAGAACATGCAACACTGAACACAGACTTTGTCGTGACTCTATAACCATGGTATTTCTGTAACTCTTCAGCTGGTACTAGCTCTCCAGATCTTCCGGTTCGGAGGCTGAAAGATAGAAGCCTAGAAACAAATTAGCACAGTGCTCCCACTGTGGCAGACCCTACTCGTTTGAGTTGTCCACGGTGTACCCCTTTTTCCTCTGGGGTTTTATCTATGCCACCTAGGGTTTTTGCTAACTCTATTGCTTGTGCAGGAGTCCACACAGTCTCTGCCACAGTGTGACTGGTGCTTGGGGCTGCTCCGCCTGCTGCAGGCACAGGCCCATAGTTTCGGACCACACTCCAGACCACCGCAACATGGTGTCTGGGGTCCGGCCATCCAGATCTGGGGGATCCAGATCATACCAGATATCCCTGTCCCAATCATCGTATGGTCCCTCACCCCCCTGGACTTTCACCCCAATGGCAGTGACCCGGGCTGAATAAGCCCCCCCAGACCCTGTTCTCCCGGGTGGACCTCTCCAGGACGAGATCCTTCAGGCAGGTAACTGCCTGGCTCAGAGTGGTGTTCTCTACTTCCACCCGCTCCCGCTCCTCCTCTGCTGCCACCACCTGTACTGCGGCTACAGAGAGGGAAGACGCCTGAGCACTAGCAGTCAGAGCCTGCGCCTTCCACATATTCCGTTCCTTCTCCAGCTCATTACATCGGTCCTTGAGTGGATCTATTTCAGTGGCGAGCTGACTCTTTGCAGCTTGTCATTGCCAGCCTGCTGCACAATCCAGTACCGCCTTATTGGGACCATATATAAGTACATATTTATCCGACATGAGCAGCAGTTCAGGAATTGTACTCCCAGGTGGAACCACCACTGGCATCCAGGGGTCTGCCCCCTCTCTTTTGGAGCCATTCTAACAACACCCCGGGCAGCGCCGCCGCTCCCCTAGGCGGTGTGTTTTCTCGCTTGGACTGCTTCGCCTTTTTCTTCCCCTTGGCCCACAGTGGCATACTTAACAGCAGCGTCCTTTTCTCACTGCAGTGGGTTGCTAGCCTGCCACTTTTTCACACAGGCTCAAGCTGGACCACTCAAGAAGGTATTAGGGGCCACCAGGGAATTTACACCTAATTCTCTCCCTTGCCCTACACCGGTACACAACAGTGGCATCCTTTTTTCCTTGCAGTGGGTTGCTAGCCTACCACTTTTTCACGCAGGCTCGAGCTGGACCCACTCAAGAGACCACCTGGGGGGCAACAGGGGATCCCTACTCTTGGGTCAAATCCTCCACTAAGCTGCCTGCATTCTCCACCTGTTATGTTACCTGAATTGGGCCAGCTAGTAAGCTTAGGGAGGACTAATGACACACCAGAGTTTGGCAGAAAGCAGCACATTTATTATACTGATGGCTAAGCTCACAAGAAGGTGGGGCGTGGGGGGAAGCCACTTCACAAGTATTCAAAGAGGGAGAGGAGACAAAAGTGGTGGGAAGTGTAACAGGCCTTTTGAGCATACAGGTTATACAGAGCATACAGATCACTGCTGCTCTGACAACAGCGGCTTTTTGCATGCTCTGATAATGGTCATAATTTTACATGGGAACTATGGATTCTAGCTACCACAGTATTGTGCAAGTGACATGGGTCATCAATGCCACATCATTTGAGTATAATACTAAAATGTAACTCATTACCACTTTTTTAATATTTGAAAAATAGTCATGTGGCATGTACAAGATCAGTTGTTATGACACATTACAGCACAAATCAGTGTTTGACCTTTTATAAAATAATTTTATGCTATACACTGTTTTTATAGGGTTTAATATAGTATCACAGGCTTTAAATCACAAGAGGCTATGAAACTTTGTAAAGAAGATTATAAACCCAGCAGACATTATTAATTTTACACATGCTGGTGGAATATAAAGGATTTCTGAAATCATGAAGCAAAGAAACGGCATCAGAGTAGGTGTAGACTTTATTGAAATGTGGCTATTAAGTTATTTATTATTTAAAAGAACAGATTCCATAATACTATTTCACAATAAGGATGTCAGAATGGTTGCTTGTAAACTGGCTGAGTATTAGACACTTGATTATTATTTCTCAGTCAAACTAAATTCAGATAGGGGAAGTCTTGGCACTCACTTTCTGCTAATGCTTGATTTTCTGGTAGAGAAAGGAGTTAAGAGCAAAAATTCCAGGCTTCCACATAGTCTGCATAAAAGTTTCTAAGAAACACAAATACCTTATAACTTAGGTTGATAAAAAGTTACACTGAAAGCAGGATGGAGGTTTTGTGTTAATTTTTCCTGCATTTCAACCCTGCAATATTGTGGACTAAAGAACTTGATGTCATTGTAGAGCACCTTGAGTGCATTTTTATTATAAATTTGGGGGAAATAACATTTTTGAAAATTTCTCATGAAAAATAACTGATATTTTTGTTCTTTTTTACCTGTTCTGTTACCAACCTTTGAAGGGAGTAGTAATTTAAATCCCTATAACATCAGTTTGAGGTTAATCCTAATTCATGTTATGTGGCCAAGAGAGAAGCAAACTTCTGATATTAACAATATTGGCCTCAATTATTCAAAATTAATGCAAGTCTCAGATTCTTTCATGCCCCCTTGCAGACATCATGAAGAGGAGGCTAGCGGGGCAAAGGTTTCTCAAGGCAATGGGGCACAAATCTTTCATTAAAAATGAAATGCTGTATGGATCGTTGCTTTTTTACAAAATATGTTCCAGTGCTAGAAGGGGTTGTGTATAATTGACTAGAAATGGCTGAGGAAGTGGTTTCAAATAGCTCCTGCTCATGCTTGGTAACGTTTTTGAACCTTGTTTACTTAATGAAATCTAAAAGAATAATCTGGGCACATTCTTAAATATGAGCCCTCCAAAGAGGTAGTGGTGTGGGAGAGAAAGTAGTTGGAACTCTGTTGCTTCTGAATGAATGCCTCAGGACAGTACTAATGTGCCACATTTAGGAAGAGGGATGGTGCTGAAATTCTGAACGTGGTCATTAAGGATCCCATGGCACTCATTAAGGGTGTGAATTCCAGAGACCATCTATCCAGGTGTTCACTAGGTACTTATATCTGGTCTACCTAAATTAACCTGGCAGTTGCAATTTGTTTAGGGGTTCTCCAGCACTTGTCCTAACCTAGCATAACTGTTCGCTGTTAAGCTGCTGCACTCCACTGCAGAGGAGGGGCCTTGTGAAAGAATAGTTTAAGTGGTGATTGCAGCCTGAGATTTTTAGATGGAAGTAGTTATGTATGTGAGCCATATTATCTAAAGCTTTGTTTTGTATTCTTACCTTCTACATTTAAGGCCACCTGGCTTCATTTTAAGATTGTACTATTATGATTCAGTGGAGCTCATAAACAATTATGTATGATATAGTCCACTGATAATTCCCAGATTGATAGGACTTTGATGCAGAAAGAGAATAGGTTGACAAGACAGTACTTACACAAATCATACATTTTGAGTAAAACCTATGGATTACTTTGCATGGATGGCATTAGTCCTTTATTCACTATTTCAGTACGAGACTGTTTATGTAAGCGGAAAACCTTGCTCAGAACAATGGAATCTTAAATACACAATTTCTTACAACCATGTATAGTTCTAATGTATGACTTGTTAGGAATTGCAGAACACATTCCCTTGAGTCTAGGAACACAACATTCATAATTAGCTAGTAAAACAGACAAATTATTTTTACTCATGAGATATTATGTGCTTGAGTGTAAATGCAAAACTCAGCAAGTAAGAGTCAGTAACAGACAGGAAACTACTTTCAGTCTTAATCAAATGTATTTGCTTTTTGTTTGCTGCCGAGGAGCCTCTCAGGTATACCTTTTCCTCCTGCAGTGCAACAGTGACCATTTTTCAGTAAGAACAAATTAAATTGAATACAACCATAGCTGCATCAATCAAGCATCTCTGTAACACTGTCACTTTTTAACTTGACCCCTTTATAGGCAGTAGACAATTCAGATTATCCAAGCATACATGTTAACCATTCAGTGTCAGCTGAAATCAGCCAGGGGACTTTGGCCAGCTCTCGACTTCCGGTTATTATCTTTGAGTTTCTACTGATATTTTCAGGATTACATACTTGGGACTTGGTTCAATTTAAAACTGTGTCTGATGTCTTGCTTTTGGAGGATGTTGCTTACTTCTAGAAAGTATTTTCTGAAGAGAACTGGTTGTGTGATAATTATTTTGGGCTGCTATGATTACTTATGCTTTCTGCCTTTCAAAGGCCAGAGTCCTAGACCACAATTTTCAAAAGTGACTACTGACTTTTGCTATCTAAATTTTGGATGCTCAAAAGATCACTTAAAAGGGCCTGGTTTTCAGAAAGTACTGAACAGCTACCATCTGAAAAGCAGTCTCCTTTAAAGTGTCCGAAGTTAGGCATTGTTAATTTTTTAAAATCTTAGGCATGGATTTTGTTTGTGTTTCTAGATATCCGTTGAACTCCAAGGTATGGTGTTGGGAGAGAGGTGGTTGGAAATCCCCCAGACAAACAAGATTCTTAATGCCTACCAAAGTAAAGCCACCACAAACAGCAAGGGAGAAAATTGTGTAAACACAAGAGTGTATCCTTTTATCATCTTTGATCCAAATGTTGCAACATTTCTCTAATCCAGGGAATGTATATGAGTAGTTAAGGTAGTTGAATAACAAACTACTTTGTGAATATTTTTGTAAATAAACATAGTGAGCTTGTTTCCCATTGGCGGGGGGGAATCATGATTCTGGAAAAATTCCTGAATTTAATACAAATGATTATTTGTCCCAGAAATGCACTATTTCTGTTTAAGAAGCAGACATTGTCTCATGTGACTTGCTGTTTGTGTTACGATTCACTAGTAAAGATTTCCATGTCTGACACAAGAAGAAACAGCCTCAGTCACATGATCGAGCTCAGGGAGAAAGTCAATACCCCTATCACTGACTCCATAGGCTACTACTACACCACAAACCATAGGCTGAACATTCTTAGTACAAACTTTCTGGTGAGTACTAAGGAATAATGAATGCACGGAGAGAAATCAGTACTGGTTTGCAAACGAGTCATGCTTGGGAAAAAAAGGCAAAAATTGTCATTTTGCCATTAATGCTCAACTCAAGGGCTCCATCCATCTCCCAGTGAAGTTAGTGGAGGAAAAACCGCTTAGACTTCAGTGGCTTTTGTTTATGGCCCGTAGTTGATATGTTCAATATCACAGCACATGCATTCAACCACCGTGTACCTGAAGCATGAAGAAGCAGTCAAATGACTCACATGGTGCTTCTGACTGTATTTTGGATCTGGCTCTCTTTCCCAGTTAAAAATATAAAATTGCATAAATATATATATATATTACATCTCTATTCTTTTGATGTAATGGTTTGTCTTCATTTTTCTCCTGCTGAGCACTATTCTTAGAAAATGTTTTCAAATATTTGATGTGAAATGTGGATGGTAGAGTATTTTTTTTATTAGTGGCTAGTATAGTTGATAGCTTGTTTGAATGGCTGGGGAGGGGGAGGGTTGCTTCATTAGAGCCATCAAGATGTACATCTCTCTGGCATATGGTATCCTGTCATCTTAATAAATACTTCCATTTAATGACCACAAGCAAACCTTTGCTGATCTCTGAAAAGAAATAAATAGGGATGCTCACTCAAGTATGCCCAAAGCATATCCCCATCAAACAGTCACGATGTAATTGAAATGGGAGGACTGGGTACTTAGTCTGCTATGACCCTTTCAGTACATATTTCCACTTTGAAATGTGTGTTCTTGCTTTTTTTCCCTGAGTTGATTTATTATAATTCATTGAGTACACCCCAGGAAGCAAATGGTGACAGTCATCAGCCTTACAGTATACAGTGTCAATGAGGCTTCTATGTGTTATCTACTAGAATTCCTTCTGGAAAGTCTAAGTTTCACGCAGGGAAAAATCAGAAACAAAGATTCCTATGACAAAAAACACACTTGTGAGCTTCAGTTACAATACAGTGGTTATATTTCTGGAACTCTTGCAAGGATGCATCTAGTACAGTCAGCTAGTGTGTCAAACATGTGCAACAGGAATATAAAGATTAAATTACTGTAGCTCCATCTACAGCATGGTGTTGGAGGGCAGAGTGATGGTACTAGAAGAGCCCAAGGCAAGGGAGGGAAAGGGGATCATAGTGCTTGATGCGTACAGTGGTTATAGACTTTCTCACACATTAGCTGCAAGCAGGAATGTGGGATTATGATGAGGTGTCCACCCCACATGAGCCCTGTGCAGGTTTATGAGTGCCTGGAGGGCCAACTAATCTTAGATGCTACACTTAGAGGGAAGCCAGGGATTGATCAACACTAATTGCAGATGAAGACCAGCTGTGGGAAGAGCTGGACTAGGAGTATAAAACCAGGAATTGAACACAGGAAGCAAGTCTGCAATCACTCATTAGAAGGAAAGGGAGTTAGCCAGGAACAAGGAGGAATCCAGGAGAAGAGTAAGCCCTAGGGTCCTGTGCTGGACTAGGGAGTCTGGCAAAAGGCCTAGAGGGGTGAAATATTATGGGGAGCTGAGGAATCTCTAGTGGTAAATCTAGAGCTAGAGAGGTGGGGTAGGAAAGAGCCTAGGGAAACAGAACCAAAGTCTGAGACTGAGCAGACCTAGGTTGCTAGTCATGGTGTCCCTAGGCTCGAACTTGGAGTAGTTGGGTCCTAGTAGCTGGAGTCCTCTACCAGCCGCTGAGAAAGTGGTACGGGATGTAGAGTTGGAACAGAAGATTGCCTGAGATGACATTCTAACAGCTTGTCCAATGGGACTTTCTTACCCTAGAATGTGGGACTGTTTTGTGACCTGGCTAGAGGGCCAAGTCATGAAGAGAGAGTACCCTGAGTCACGGGGGGAGAGAGGAACCACAGCATGAGTGACTGACAGACGGGGGCCCAAGATGGGGTGAAAGCTAATTCTCAGATCCAGCTGCGAGGAAGCATGTCTATGGTGAGTAGGCCCTTTTACAGGGATTAATCAGTATGAATTCATGAAACCATGAATTGATTATGGGCATTATGTCAATCTTTTTTTTTCCCCAAGGCAGAAATTATCACTAACTAGAATTAATGTTTATCTACTGCTTTTGAATATGCAGATGCAAAATGCATATTGAAAAGTATTGCTTTTTAAACAAAGAGAATTTTATCAAAATAGATGATCCAAAAATGAGTGCAAGTGAGATAAAGCCCTGCAAAACATGAACAGACACTTGTCTATCAGGTGTTTCTATGCGTAGAGCTTTAATATGCCATGATGGTTGTGCACTATTGCTGGGAATGCAGGCAGAGACCTCTACTGTACCTGGCACTGGGGACAGCCCCTCTCTGTTGTATATGGGCGAAATTCTTAACCCTTCCTGTTCAAGTAAAAGGACAAAAACGAAAACACTTTGTAAAAGGACTTGGAATGGATGAACCATACAGTGACCAAATTCATTAACACCTGATACCTTTCTTTGCATGGTCCTGAAGGCAGCTATGGAGGAAAACTAGGAGTTTTTAGTAGCTTCTATGTATGACTCGTTGTAGACATCCTTGGTTGTCCATAGGCTTATGAGTGGACTAGTTTTGATAGCACCCCTATTTCTCTGCTGGGTTATTTACTGCCATGTTTGTTGTTACTGCTTTCATGCCTGCTTGTGGGATTTGTGCTGCATATCACTGGAGTAGCTGCCCCTGACTTTGGAGAATGGGAATACAACCTCACTTACTTCCAGTCACTCAAACTCTAATATTAATGAATGGTGCCTGGGACTGGGATGGAAGGTAGCGATTTTACTTCCTGTTTTCTTTTTACTCCAGCTGGCCCTGTGGCAGAACCATCAATGCCCAGACTGAAAACTGCACATTTATAGAGTCTTCTGTGCCTTTAGCAGTGTACACTGCAGGTAAATGAGATGCTATAAACCAACTCAAACCCTCTGAGAGAATAATGCATTGGAGTGGTAATGCTCTAGAAGTACTTTACACAGCTTTCTGTGAAACATGATCCACATACCAGGTGCTTGCAAAACAATCAAACAGAAAAAAGGCCAGGCAAACCAAAATAGCATATTGTCTGTAATCTTTAAATAGCTTATTATCCATAGTAAGTGTGGAAAATAAACTGGCAGAGGGAATTTCCTGGGAATTAGTGACCAGTACGGTTAATAGTGCTTTACTCTGCCTTGGACCATCAACTCCTCATAGCTAGTTATTAATCTTAGGATATGATGCACACCTCAGTCTGTAGTTTTAGGATTGTGAAATATGATCTTTTTAAAAGAACAAAAATACACAATTCTCATTGAAGTCAAAAGAAATGCTCCCATTGACATCAGTGGGGTCTAGTTTAGACCCCCAATAAGTTAAAAATGTTTGTGCAATAGTATGGTTCTTCATTTGTGCAAAGAGCAGCTATAGCAACAGTATTGGTAGCAATCATCACCAATATACATCAATTGTGACTTGGCAGGATTGCCTGTATTTAGAGAGAGGAGTAGGATAAGCAGTCACCATTCCCCTTGAGTGTTTGTCCTCTATGCTAATACTCCCAGTAAAGGAGACTTGTAAAGGTGGCTTTTGTGATATGAATGAAAATAGCCCACCAACCTAATACACATAGGCAAGATATCACTTCTTGGGATATTATGGTCTTTCTATTAATCATGTGACTTGCACTTGAAAACAGAGCTTTACGAAAACTGAAAATGTCTTGATAAAGATCTAATGTTTTGTATGGTGAAAAAAAATCTAATGAAATGAAAAATGCTGACCAGTGCTACTTGAGGAGAATGAAGATTTTTCATGTTTTGAATACTTGAATACAATTTTTTGTGCAAATTTGTATTTCGAGGCCTTGACTAAAGGCAAAGGACTAAAGTAGGTGCTTAATTTAAGCCGGGCAAGAATTGGGGAAGAGTAGAGAAGGATTCCTTTGAGGTGACATTTACAAAATATTAACTCTGGTATGCTGAAGAGAGAGAAAACGCCTTTCAGTGTTCCTTTCTACAATGCAATGAGCATGTATTAGAAGAAAATATTCCCTGATGTTAATCATGCTACTTGTTTTCAAAGGTAAAGTGATATTGTATTTCTAATTGTATATCCAATTCCTGTCCAAATATATCTGCACCACCTGTTTACTTGAAGTAGAGTTTGTATTACAAGGATGTGTGACGCTACATCCTTCATATTCTTCATAAAAATATTATTGTTATGCCATATTCATATATTTGAGATGTTTTATGCAAGGTGGGACATGTGAGGTATCATTGGAAAGGTTATGATATGCTGAATGTGTTTATCTAATATGTATGTATCATTTCTGTATCTGAAGTTAGGAATATTGACTATGTAACAATTACAACTATGTGTGTACTTGGGGGAACACCCACCAGACAGTAGGCAATCAGCCTGGATGGGCCATTAGTATCTTCAAAGTTCTATTGTTCTTTCTTAATCTCCCACCTTCCTGAGAAGCTTCCTAGGATGCTGCTTTGACACTACAAGGTCATGTGATGTCACCTGGTACAGAGTACCACCTTGGACACTGCTGGTATGTTTTCAGTGGAAATAAAGGATTCCTGCCTTATGTAAATCCTATTTAAGGCTGGGAAGTGAGTCAATCAGGGCTCTTCTCCATTGCCTCCCAGTCGAAGAAGGAAGACTGCTGAAAACACACAAAGGAACTAAGCTGGGGAAAGGCAAGGGCTGAGTCCAGGCTGAGACAGGGGTCTAGCCTGTAAAGAGAAATAACTAGAACTCTGAGCTGCAGAAACTCTGCAACCTGCCTAAAATGACATTTATGGTGAGAAATTATTATTTGTAACCTGTTTCTTTCGTGTAATAAGCTTAGTTTGTGTGTTTTGTTTTATTTGCTCAGTAATCTGCTTTGTTCTGTTTGCCATTCCTTATAATCACTTAAAATTTACCTTTTATAGTGAATACACTTATTTTTTTTGTTTATTCCAAAACCCAGTTTGTGCAATTCGTATCTGGGGGGCAAAAAGCTGTGCATATCTCCCTCCATATTGAGGGAGGGGGCAATTTTATGAGCTTGCACTGTACAGATTGCTCAATACAGCATAAGACAATATTATTTTGGGTTTACACCCCAAAGGAGGTGTGCATGTGAGTGCTGGGTAAATCCCCAAGCTGAATCCTCCCCCACACAGCTGATTTCAGTCTGTGTCTGCAGCTGGGTGTAGCCTTACCTCTGTGTGTGTGCGTGCTAGAAAAGGCTTGAGGGCCTGGCACAGCAAGGACCGGGGGAGGAAGCCCAGGCTGGTGGAACTGGGAGGCTCAGTGGGACCACAGCATATCCTTTTGTACCCTGAAAGGGGAGATCCAAGCTGTCACAGTGGTGCAGCAAGCAGGGTGATCTGCACAGCTTGATGCTCTGAGACACTGGTTATGATTTTAAGTGAATTTTAAGTGTGCTGGCTAGAGAACAGACAAAGTGGTAACTGGTTTGTTATTTTCTGTTCGCTTATTTCGGGAAAGGGAAGTAAGTGTAAGTAAGTTTTGCCTGTTAAGGAGTAGAGCGTCCCTTTTTTCCCTGACATCAATTTCCTTTTAAGAGTCGGGTAACCATCTTTGATGTTGAGAAGTGGAATGGATGATTTATATTTCAGCCTTATTTACAGTAGATGGACTATGTGTTTAATGACAATTGTATGGAAATTTCCCAGATGAATATTTATGAATGTGAAATATGAGTTCAGTGCTTCCGGCTGTGTGTATTGCCACAAACATTTCTTTGAACGGCTGTATTGAATTTTGTCAGACTCAGCACAATTGAGAAATCTTTCAGGGAACTACCAAACTGCTGCTTCTGTGTGTGTATATATATGTCCCTTTGGTATCTTATAATAAAGACTTGAATACGTACTGTTTTACTGGCAGTAAAGCCAGCAATAATGTCTTAGTAGAATCAGAAAAAATAACTAAGCACCCTAAATGTCTGAAATAAAGAGATAATTGAAATTACTTTGTGTTTAGGCCTCAGCAGTTTCCTGCTTTATAATATCTCAGGTGATCATTTATACTTAATGAAATGCAATGAAATGAGTATATTATTGATTTAGAATGTAAAAGTTTGGTTTGAGTCTACCGTAGGTCTCATTGATACATAGAACATTTATGAAAGAAACAAATTGTTTAAATTGCATCTTATTATATTCAGTGAAAAATCAATAACTCACTTGCATAGGCCCATCTTTCAAGCTTTGAAAACAAATTTGACGGGCATGTTGTATTAAAAAATAAAAAGCCAATTTGTAGTCTGAAAGTTGCTTGTCTAGAAGTCAAGTCCAGTGGTGGGTGTAGCCAGTATTACCACCTCCAAGTGTTCAAAAATCACATCAGCCCTCTCCCAAATTATGAGATTTTTTTAAAATAACTTTTGAGATCCCTTCATTTGTCTTCTCGTGCAGTCTTTGTGGGTATGTCTACACAACAGGTCGGAAGTATGATTCCTAGCTTGGGTAGACATGGAGTGCTATTTCAACATGCTTAAACCTGGCAGTGTGACTGCAGCAGCATGGGCAGTGGCTCCAGTATGTATCTAAGGAGTCACACAGGATTGTACATGGTTGTAGTGTATAAAGTGCAGAGTCACCCTGACTTCTAAGACTAATTATGCCCTCAGGTATCTTTGTGTAACACACTTGGAATGCAGAGGGAGTTGCTCACACATCCATGGGGAGAATTTCGTCAGTTACACTAATTAACTTCTGGGTCTACTGGTGCACACATAGTTTTCTGGTACCATGGGCTTCAACACTAAGAGTCTCATTCCATTTCTCTACCCTTTACGAGTAATGGAAGTCTGCATTTAAAATTATTAATGTACATCTCTCAGAGGGTACACTCGTCAATGCATAGAAATTCTCCATTAGCCTTATTTCTGGGCAACCTTAAAAGGGGAGAGTGGATTTCTAGTTATTTATAGTAAGGGGTTGGGGGTGTGTGTGTTTTTGTTGGCCCTTTGGAAATATACTTACTAAGGACCTGAAGTGTCCTAAAAATGACAAATTAGCAACTGAGATGCATATTTTTCAACACCAAAGGGCCTGCTGCGTTTTATGCAACATTTTGGAGTGAGTCACATGGACTTGCGGGGCTCACGCTCGTGTTCTAAAAATAGGTGTATAGACCATACTTTGAAGTTGAAACTCTGGCCCTGAAGTCTGGGAAAGGGGATGGGCTTCATAGCCTGAGCTCCAGCTTCAAAGTGTTGTCTCTACCGCTAGTTTTAGAGCACCAGTGTGAGCCCCACAAACCCATATGTTTACCCAGCCTGGAAAGCTTGCTCCTGCTCACTCCAAAAGTTTACAGTCTAACCATTTTCATTTTTCAGAGTAATGGAACAAAGGGAAATAGTACAGAGCCCTTCAGCAAAAACTCCTAACAGCTGAGAGCTCAAGAGCGGGAGAAGGTGGGTGGGCTGAACATTTACAGTTGAGAACTTACATTGAGGCTCTGTAAACACAAAGTAAGGGAATCACAATTTAGGTTATGTGATGTCTGCTGCCTCTGCAAAATATTAATTGTTCTATTAGCTTCAACATTGGCTTTCCAAATTATTTGCCCAGTTTCTACTGAACTGTGGAACCATCCCTGTAATAACACGTATTATTAGATCCTATGATCCCCATCTTTGTTATGGTATTGCTAGTTTGATTCCAGTTCACTTCAATTCTGTTGGAATGTACATGATTCTCACAGAAGTTGTTTGAGGCATGTACATTAGTTTCCATGGAGATTCAAGACTTCATTAAGGTACATTAGTACACATAGGAACACACTTGAACACTGCTGGTATGCTGAAAAGAATTATAGCTATATGTGATTCTTTTGGTTCATGACTTCTATTTATTTTATATAGTACGATTACTAAAGAATCTGAAGGTGGTTGTATGAAACAATCAATTTGCTGTTTACATTAAACTGCAATGAGGTTGAATATTTGGAAAGTTAAACATTATATGTTAATTCCCAGAAGGGAGGTGGAGGAAATAAGCCAAATATCTGCTCATCTCTATAAGCTGGAGTTTATCAATTTGAATTAAGTATAGTGTTTGGCCTTTAAAACCAGCATTTTGTCTGAACAACCAATTTCCTTTCCACCTCTTCAACTTTTTTCTGAATAGCGGATTCTTTTATCCACCTGTGGTTCCCCACGTTTCTCCCCCTCGCCCCAAGGTAGCTGATGTGTCATATTGCAATGAGTCATTTTGGGGTTTTGTTAGTGTTAAGGAATTATAGCCCACAATATGACAGCTTGGCTGAGCAGTGGGAAGAAAGGTACTAAAATTCTTGACTTGAAGATTACAGGCAATAGTTGCTAGAGATTTTCCCCACTCTTGAATTTAGTTCAACTGGGATAATAATTTAGAGGAGAGTCAGGTATTCCAGTATACTGGTCAAACCACCTTTGCAATTAAAGTTGGGTGGGGGGAGGAAGGGTGTGCATGCAATTCATCAGCTTCGTCAATCCAGACAAAGGACCCCACTGCTTCTTATGCAGTGAGGGCCTCGTCTTGAAAGCACAGTCAAGCAATGCTATAAATTGTTGATTTTTGGAAGGAGGAACTTTATATGTAAACTCTTCTGTAGCAGGGATGATTTAATTCTCCTTCTGCTTAACTTTGGAGGGGAAAAAATTTACACAACTGGCTACCAACAAGTGCAAGCACATCATGGCTGATAGGAGAAAATATTACATTTGTGTGTGGATGTGACATTTAACCAGTACTGAATTTGTGTCTGAATTCAGCCTCTCTGAAGGTACTTGGGATCACTCAGAAAGGGACCTTAAAAATCACATTTCTGATAGTTACACATTTGAGTATCAAATTTGACTTGAATAGGAAATTTTGCCTGAGCAGCCATTGCAGAACAGTACCCAAAATATATAAACAGAATGGCAACTTTCTCTTACAGGTAGTGGAATATGTATAGTGGAATTGGAGGGGAATAACAAACAAAACTGAAACATGCCATATACAAACAAGGCAATAAAAGATTAGCAACAGAACATACTGGTTAGATATAGAGGATTGGCTCATATAAATTTGGAGGTGATTGCATTATACTCAAGCAGGGAATAATTCACCACTTGGAGTTGAATGACTTTTGTAGTAGTTTGTCTATTAAAGGAAAATGTTTTCAGATGGAAAGGAGGGAAAGGATGATGGCTTTTTAGTAGAAACATGGGGATGGCACTTAGGTGGTATGACTTACTGGATCTGTCACGTTTTCTTGATCAAATCACTTAATGTCCTGTGCCTCTCTCATCATAGTAAAATGGGGATGATATTAATCTACTAGTTGTGGGTAAAATATAGTATTGTGAACCTACATGCAATATCTGGCACCTAGTTTATTACAGTGATGAGGATGGTAGAAATACCTAAGAGATAAAAAGAACAAAGCAGTTTAATTCAATGAGAGATTAAGTGGAATTGTGAAATGATTCCACAACATGCCATATCAGTGTCACCAGCACAGCCTATAGGGTGTGCACTGATCTCACTTTAGCTATATATTAGAGTTTTGACCTGTATTTCCTAGACCAAATGCTTGATTAGTTTTCTAAGAGTCACAAAACAAACTCAATATTGTATGACAAAAACAACAAACAAATACTGGTGATGTCCTTTTAGTAAGCTTGCACTAGCTTTTTCAAACTTTCCTTTCCTTTCCTCTTGAATATGTGCCAGTGTTTCATTGGCTTTTCTTTGAATCATGAACTAGAGCAGTGTTGCACTAGGTTTTACAATCTATCATGGAGGTAGGCTTGTTCAGGAGAGGCCTTTTAAAATGAGAGTTCATTACTATACTATCTCATAACAAACTGTGGTTGCTATGTGATAAGCTTGGTTACTGCACAGTAAAATAAAACTGCCATCGTGCCAATATAGGTTCAAATGAAAAGGATAGTAATATGATGAAGGCTACCTTCCAAGAATTTAGGGCTACCTTCCAAGAAAACTGCCAGATAAATATTTGACTATGAGAAGTTCAACACTGAATTAGACAAAAATCTTATGCATCCTTATGATTGCTTAGGAATTTCTGCAGCACTGAAATCTGTTACATGTGTAGTGTCCAACATTTGAGCCTGAGGGACTAACAGGTTAGTTCAGAAATGTCAAGAAGCCATAGTCAATAGTCTCAGGCACATGGCCTGCTGCCATTCATGCTATGGAAAAGGAGCAGAAATCACAAGGAAAGGGATTCCTGTGTGGACCGGCATTTCCCTGTAGGTGCATAGCCAGATTCTACATCAACCCATGGTTTCCCCTTCTTGTCCCTTTTTGCTAGGGGCTGTGTCTGGAGGTTGATGCAATCTGACTATCCTCTGATGGCATAAGATCCCCAGGGATTGTTGCCAGCTTTCATCGTTATCAGGATTGGCGCAGAGAGTTGGGGAATTGTAGTTTGTTGTCTTTTTTTCAGCTCTTCCTTGAGAAGGAAAGGAACCATCTTTTTGATGAGAGTTCCCCGCAGACTGCAGTAGCCGAGCTCTTATCCTGGTCTCTTTCCAGCATGTCAAGAAAAGAAGCCAGGTAGTACCCAGAGCTAGTCTTCATTTTTTCAAGACAGCAAGTATCCATAAAGGGAGCTACTGTGCAGCTGCAGTAGGGAAGTGGCAGGAAAAAATGCTCCTGGGTCTCATGAGAGCTGCTCGTGTGGATGCACCCCAGATATTATGCTTTAAATTCATAATTTAATAAAAAGTTTCTAAACACAGTTGTCCTTGCGTAGGACACTCCTGATCTAGATGTTTCCAGCATCTAAGTGGAACTTTAAGTGCTCTGAACTTCTCAGCCAACCATGTATACAAAAATTAAAATCAAGTACTTAGCCACCCATAGAACTGTCCATACACCAGTAACAGCTAACTTCCTGCATTAAAACTCCACCCAGAATCCAACCTTGTTATCCCCAATTCAGGAACCTACCACCTCCCCTGCATGCCCAAGACAGAGATTTGGACTTTGCAGGATGACCTATGCAGATAGATTCCCCACTGTTTAGGTTCTTTGGATCAACCCTGCTGGTGCTGGAACACATCCCTGGATGTTAATGTAGTACAGTCCCGAACAGGGCATCATTTTGCAGGACTTGGATTCAGTCCTGAACAGCCCTGAAAATTGAATGTGCACCATAATACCTGGTCAGT